TTGGCTTAGGATGGGAATGGAGCCATTGCAACAGGTCGAGGCGCTGAAGGTTTGAGGAACTGAGGGTTCGCAGTGCGCACGTGGGCACGAGAACCGGGCGGGGAGGTGTCCAGAGCGAGAGCGAGGGATGCGTTCACCGCAAGGCGTGGAAGGGGCGGCCCCGAACCCACTCGCGTCTCGGTGCTGACACGGGCGCGGAGAGCCGGGCTGGCGCCAGTAGCAGGCGGCTGAGGGGTGGCGGTGTGCGGAGGCGCGCCCGGGGGCGGGCTGCGGAGCGGCGGCGGAGGGGTTAAAGCGGCGCCGGTTCTATTTGCGGCCGTCGGAGCTCCGGGCGATTAGCGAGCGGCTCCGCGCCCCCGCCCGGCCCGGCCCCAGGAGCGCGGCAGCAGCAGCAGCAGCAGCAGCAGCAGCAGGTGGCGGTGGTGGCGGCGGCGGCGGCGGCGGCGGCAGCGGCAGCGGCAGTGGCAGTGAGGAGGGAGTTAAGCCCGCGGCGGCGGCGGCGAGCGGCAGGAGGGGGCTGAGGAGGAGCGGCACCTGGAGGAGGGGGCTCGCGGAGCGGGCGGCGGCAGGAGGGGGGACCGACGAGCTGGCAGCGGCTCTAGCGGTTGCTAGGGATGGAGAGATCCCGTGTCACCCGGATGTGAGTGTCATGTTGGCCCAAACTCGGAGGGATTTGGCAGCGGCGAAGCAGCGGCAGCAGCGGCGGGAGGAGGAGGAGCGGGAGCAGCCCCTCGCGCGTCGCTAGTCGCTACCATGGGGGTCGGGTAGCGGAGCGCAGGGCAGCGCGCACCTGGCTCGGGGCGGCGGGGGACGTCTCGGCCCTGGGCTTTTTTCTTTTTCCTCTCGCGCGCCGAAGAAAGTGGGAATCATGCAGCACCACCAGCAGCAGCAGCAGCCCGAGCAGCACCCAGAAGGTAGGAGCGGAGCGGGCAGCAAGGGCAGCGGCGTGCCCGGGGCTGAAGGAGGGGGCGCGGGGGAGGATTTGCGAGGGATTTGGGAGACGGGGATTAAGGAGGGAGGGAGGAAAAGCGTTGGGGCCGGGGTGGGTTTGGTGCGGGGAGGGGGCGAGCTGCCGGGCTCTGGGAAGGGCGCGGGGCGAGGTTCGGCGGCAAGCGGGATGCTGCGCGAGGCTGGAGCTGAGGGCGGGAGGACGGACGCGGCTCCGCTCGCGCCGCTCCGAACCGGGTGCGGGGGCACAGCGCCGGCGGCAGCGGCTGGGGGCGGGCGGCTGAGGGGGCGCCACGGGGCTGCGCCGGTCCCGTGCCGGCTCCGCACGTCCTTCCCTGCCGCTTTCGAACGATTCTCCCCCCGCTCCCCCATATGAGCCGCGAGTCCGTTGCTGCGTGCCCGCCGGGGGCAGAGGTTCCCCGGGGAGCACGGCGCTCGGGCTTTGTTTCGCTCGCTAGCACAGATGAGGAGAATGACAGCTAGATGCGTCGATCAGCGGCTGTTTTGCGCCGAACCACGTTGCACGGCATCCCAGGGGGCAGGCGGAAGGCGGGGGAGATGCTGTCAAATTGCTTGAGAAATTAAAAAAAAAAAAAAAAAAAAAAAAGGAAAAGGAGGACGGGGGGGGAACCGGCAGAAACCCTTTCCAAAACGTTGACATCGGCTCCGCCACCCCCGAGCAACCTTCCCCCCCCCGAGGCCCGGCGGTGAGGGCTGCCTGGCTCCCGCCACACGATGCCGGCCGCGGCCCCGCGCTGACCCCGCCGCCCCGGGAGCCATCTTAGAGCCCCCGCGGCCGCCCCTCACGCAGGCACGGAGCGGCGGGGCCGTGCTCGCACACGTCGACGCACGTTCAGGGCTCTCGCGTCGTTGCTGTTATCTCCTCTCCCCCAGTCTAGGAAGGGAGGGCTGTGCTCCCCTCTTCTGCGAACGGCGGTCGCTGGGGAGTTATCTTCCCCTCCTGCCTGGGCAGATCCGTTCCGCTTGCCAGCCCTGATTCCCTGCGCGTGGATTCTGCCATCATTCCTCCATGTTCTGCCCACCCAGGCGTCTTCAAGTTTTGAATTTCACTTAGGAGCTGCTCCTTCCTACAGGTGCACGTAGGAGTCGGCTCTGCTGCTCCAGTCAGGAGCGGAGATCTGTGCGAGGAGGTGGCATTGAGCCATCTAAATAAAAAGAGCTCAAAAACCTTGTTTAAAAGGTATGATTTATGTAGTGGAACCTCGTGAAGAAGTAGAAAGAAGCATTCCTTTGCATTGGTTTCACATGTGAAACTCTACCTTATCAACGTATTTACCACCACACACTGTGGGAATTTAACTTGTGGGAGGCATCCCTGTGTTCTAACGAGGTGAGATTCAACTTGCTTACAGGATTTCTTTTAATCTTTTTGTTTGGGAAGGTAGATTGGTTGTTTTCCGTTGAAAAGCATGTGTAAATGACTGTTTTTGTGCTGAACGCTAAGGTTCTGCAGCAGAGTTGGTCATTAGGAGGAGGAATGCTTCACTGGATAAACATGGTGACAGTAAAGCTGCCATCAAGTCTGTAGCAAGTGGGAGACTCAAAATGCAGAGTTGCTGAAGCACTTGTCTTGACACTTAGATTTGACTTGAAGTTATAATGCTGACTCCTGAGCCTTTTTGGCTACTGTTCAATCACATATATGCATACGTATATGTTCAATTACGTGTACGTATATTTATTTGCCTACAGTCATATATATATATACTGCAGAGCATGAGTGTATGCACATATATAGGCATCACACCATCAAGAGGTCTTAAAATAATCTTTTCATCGAAAACACAGTGACACATTATAGCATAAAAAGTTATAAACAAGTTTTTTTTTTTTTTCTTCCCCTTTTCTCTCACAGAGGCGAACTATGCAAGCAGCACCAGAATTCCTCTCCCTGGTGACGGACCAACTACTCAGTCCAACAGTTCAGCACCATCCAAGCAAACTGTTCTGTCTTGGCAAGCTGCAATTGATGCTGCTAGACAAGCAAAGGCTGCCCAAAATATGAATTCCACCACAGCTCAGCCTGTAGGATCTCTGTCCCAAAGAAAACGCCAGCAATATGCCAAGAGCAAAAAACAGGGTAATACATCTAATAGTCGGCCACCCCGTGCCCTTTTCTGTTTATCCCTCAACAACCCCATACGAAGAGCCTGCATTAGTCTAGTAGAATGGAAGTATCCTTTGATGCAGTTTCAGTTCGTCTGTTTCTTGAGTTTTTTAGGTGTATCAAGACTGTCTTGCTATGTCTCTGATAGCAGCATAGCTAACACTGTACTTCTACCTATGTGTGTAACTCTCATTAACATTAATGGTAGCTAGTTTTGCATAAATGGCTCTTGATCGATGTCATAATAACAGGATGTTGTTTCGCTAAAGTAAGTAAATCAAATCAGAGAACAGCTCATAGCTATTGCTTTCTTTTCTTAGGGGAAAAAGGGAACGCATTCAGAATTTAACCTTATAAATTTATAAGCTTGCATTATATTCCATCAGATCTCCACATTCTGTTCATTACTGTTCTAAAGAAGGCCGAATGCTTAAGAGTTCATCTAGCAGTGCTTACTTGGAGATGACCGAAGATGTCAAACCTTTATCTTCCATCTTGTGCTCAGATGTATTACTATTAAGGCAAATGGGCCGAATGTAGAAATCGTTTAAAAATTGTTTTCCAACTGCTAAAAGTGATGTTTTCTTAGCTAAGCTAAGGATTCACAGTTGGTACATACAGGTGCCTGAACTATATTCATCTTTTGAACTTCTACAACAATTCTACCATCAAATATTTGGAAGCATGTATGACTGTAGGTAGGAGACCAGACCAGACACACCAGCTTCTCCTTGGGGTGGTGTGTGTGCTGGGAAGGATTGCTTCATCTTTGTCTCAGTGGTTGTGATTTGAAAGTCTGTGGATTTATTTGGAAGAAGTAATATCATACAGATATGATATGTTGTTTAATTCTCAAGAAAGAAGTTTGAAATAGAAGATAAAGGTTTGTTGAGGTACAAGGAGAAAAATGTTTGCCTGTTAGCCATGGCAACATTCCTGTAGCAGGAAATAGCTGTTCAGGAGAGTACATTACAAAAGTAAAGCTCATTTTCTTACTTTAAACAGAACACCCATGCTGGCAGTATGAAATGTTCCTCGTTTATAGGGCTTGTTTTTTCAATTCTTTGAATGTAATTAAAGATAGTGAAACAGATTCTACTTTCATTTTAAACTGGTAGAAGTCCAACTAATTTCAGTGGATTGGCCTCTCCTTGGCTAAGGTCAGTTAAATTAAATTGCTATGAATCTGAAGTGGAATAATGCAAGGCTGAGTTGGTCCCAGTAGCGCTGTATCATGAAACAAGCTTGTAAGTCTTGCACTGACGTGGTTTGTTCATTTCAGTCCAGAGAATGCTGTGTATTAAGGTGGGTGCTCTGTTCTTTTGTGTACAATGTAATGGTTGTTGATATTCACAGGCTTTTAGGGACATAAAAAACCAACCCTGGTGGTGACAAACTTTGCGTTGCCAACAAACAAAATTTAAAAGTACTTGATGGGCATGTGGGCTTAATAGGTGTTTTCTTCAGAAAAAGTGTATTGTGAACTGACCAAAATATTCTTTGGAGGAAACAAAGATTGTATTTGGTACTCTTCCCTCAGTCTTTTATGGGAATTTTATGGATGTATACCAAGAAGGTGTGCGTTGAGATAACAGGAAAAAATGGCAAAAATCATAGCTAAGGTTCAAAGTATTCCCTATCTGACATTCTACAAGTAATCTTATCTGGGTAACTCTGTCTTTTTTAGTTACGAGGAAATAATGCAGTATTTTTCAGGGTAAGGCAAATTGATGATAAGCTGAAGGATGAACTTCTAAGTATGAATTTGAGGAAACATCTTTTTTCTTTTTTTTTTTCTTTTTTAACCAGAGGAAACGTGTCTTCAGGATTCTACTACTGTTATCCAGATGCAGTGTTAAAACTGTAGCTGTACTTCATGTCACTTGTGCAAAAGTCTGAGAGGCTTTGAGCCTGTATGGCTGCCAAGCCAAGAATGGCATGCTGTTAGCCATTCTACTTACCCAGACTTTGTTCTGCTCTGCCCAAAGCAAAACTGTTAAGGAGTTCCACTGTCAGAAAAATGAAGAGTTCTCTGGCAGCGAGAGTAATAGCTTTCTTGCTTTTGCAAAGAGAAAGGGACATTGAGACATTGTTGTGATGGAAGATAATTTGATACAGTGATATAACCAATGGTGATTTGATGTTTGCCCCACTTAACAGTCTAAAGATTGCCTTAAAAGAACTGTTTGTGAGTATTGAAACAGAAAGGCTTAAAAGTTTGTAGATGCTCGGAATCCATTAATTCCTTAACAGGATTTTCCAGACCATTTGACATATTTATACTACTGTCTATTTTTGCCAACTGTGTGGCCTTAGCTGTTTACATCCCATTCCCAGAAGATGATTCTAATTCAACTAATCATAATTTGGTGAGTACTCTTGAGTTTTTGTTTTATGTCTTGAAGTTTTATCTTGGTGGTCAAGATTGGCTGCTAGTGTTTAAGACTATTAAGTATAATAATTTTATAATAATTTATAATAATAATTAGTATGGTATGCAGTGGTACTTTCAAATAAAATATCAGTCAGAATATGCAATTGCTTTATTTTCAGTTTTAATATGTACTCTCTTATGTCATATTTTAAAATTCTGTTGTCAGTGGTGAGATTCTTTGGCAGAGAATGTACCATAAAGATGTGCTCTGTGTGTGTCTATGTATCTGTGTGGTGTAAGAACTTGTATTTGAATTCCTGTTGTTGAGATGTCTGTTTCAATCCCTGTGAAGTTTTACTGCCTTACCTAATATGCTTGTCTAATCTATCCTCAATTTTTAAGGCTGCTGTTTGGCTGTCTGTATTTTTAGCTGTTATTTTAGCTTTTATTAAAAGAGAATGGTGGAAAATTTTACAGCAAAGTGGTAAGAACATCAACGTGAATTATAACAGCAGTAAGTGCTTCTAGAAGTTGTTTTGAAAAGGGATGATAACACAATGGGTACTTCATTTGTGGAGCTGTATTTCTTCAGCTGAAAATAGGGTAGCAGTGTTGTACTTGAAAATGTAACGAAAAATAATTTAGTTGCTAGTCTCCAAGTCTTACAGATTCTATTACACACAAGGGTGATTTGAAATACAGTATCATGGTTTCATTTATTCTAAGCAGCATTTTGAAATAGCAGAGCTCTGTGGTCCTATGAGTTCTGCAAGTCTGTGATTTGTTTTCTGGCATAGTGGCGGTGGGGAAGGGTGCCAGATCAATGAGCAGGTAAACTTGGGTTGCTTTGGAAGGGAAATGTTAGGTTGATATGAGGCTTTCTATTTATGAAGATAAATGTGTGCATTTGGTGCACGTGAGCATGTTTATTTTCCTAAAAGTAATTCTTCTCATATGACCCATTTTATATACATCTCGTTTATCAAGATTAAGCAAATACAAGCAATAAAAATGCTGGTGAAAGGCAGAATAATTCAGGTCAGTGTAAAGAACGCATTGTGCAGCTGTTTATCTAGCCAGCCAATAGTCTCTATTTCTTCATTTTATCCTCTGTGAGAAATTCAGGGCACAAGTCTCCATAGCTGTCAGTCCACCAAGAGGTCTGTTAATAACTACTTTCATTAAAGCGTTACGTGAAAAGGGCAAAACAGATGCTTGTGTCAGAAGCTAATAATTTTGAAATAAACGTTTTTTAGTATTTGTTTTGTTAGGTTGGTGTTTGACCCAATTCTACAATGTGTTCAGAAAGAAATGGACATTTTTGTATTTGATGTTTCTATTAAAGTGGGTGGGTGGACAGGTTGGTCTGAACAAAAACACGTTATGCTTTTTTAGTAAGAGATCCCCGTCCCTTTGAAGTAGAAAGGGTCTGGATCACTCCGAATTATGGATCTTGAACGCAGTCAGCTGTACATATAGTTTGACAACTTTGCTATTTAAATTTGCAACTTGTGTATACCGATGTTAATTATGAGTAATTTCACTAGGTTTGCTCAAGTACTGGCATGTGCTGGGGCAGACAGCCCAGATAACGGAATGTAAAGGTGCATCTTGTCTGCTTGCTAATAGCATACATTGCTCTGGAATGAGAAATATTGGCTTTCCTTATAGCAAGGGTTCTAAATCATAAAATACATGGACTATTGCTCTGGGTCCATGTAACCTTCTCTGGGATTTTGTTGCCATTTTTTTTCTAGTTTAGCCCAACTTTCTTTGTTAAACCCATAGTGAGGATTCAAGTATAATGTGAAGCAATACTATGTTTGAGCTGGTTTGGAAATTGTTAGGCTTAATTGGGAATCTCTTTCAGCACTTATTTCCTGATTCTTGTGGTGTGCATATAAACACGTTTGAGGCAGAGGTGTCAGTTGTTATAATACTGTTGAATAATGTTCAGATCTTTCTTGTTACTGGTTTAAAAACCACATCGAATCACAGAATGGCCTGGGTTGAAAAGGACCACAATGATCATCTAGTTTCAATCCCCTGCTATGTGCAGGATCTCCAACCACCAGACCAGGCTGCTCAGAGCTTACATAGTGTATTAGATTTGTGAGTATGGAAGGATTTTAGCCGCTGTTATATGGAGGTGTTTCTCTTTTATAAGCTGTGTGTAGCCAGTTTGATCTCTCTTTAATTCAGACTCAAACATTGGGAGGATATAAGATACTCTCCTTATCTACTGCCAACTCAGGCTTGTGGTGCCGTCAACCCCACAGTCTTGTCTTCATCCTTTCCCTATTCTGGATGCAGGAATCCACTGACATTGTACAGGTTTCAGTATTTGCATCATTTCTGTCTTGTGGGGAGAGACTGGAGTGAAACGTGGTCTGCTTCCAGTGCTTTTTCTTTCTCGTTATGTAAACCCCAAAAGCTCAGCTTTAGAAATTTTAGTTTGTGTATGGATTTAGGTCTTGGTTTTCATGGGGTGGGTGTATCAGTGTTGTTTCACTGAGTTGGGTTGGTTAACTGTTTTCTGTGAGCCTGCTGAAGTGGCTTATGTGTTTCTTGATTTGCAATAAAACCCCAGAACCTCAGACATGTTCATACTTCATTTTTATATTTAGAGGTGAACAAAGGTAAAATACATATAGTCTGTGTTCAGGTGTGGAAAGTGGGAGCAGGGTACAAGAGGGCAGAAAACAATGGAGCATGGATAAGTGGGAAATAGAAATGGAACTTGTTCTGTTCTGCCTTTTTGCTGTTCTCTGGGAGTACAAGGTTGCGCTACATCTTTTTTCTTGCATTGTAAACTCATAGTCAGCCTCATTCCCACTTAGGAATGGTATGTTAGTACTGAATGGTACAAAACAACACGCTTCAAACAAATCAGGAGTACAGAGTTAAATTCTGAATGGACTGAGCTTGGCCACTAACCAGTGTTACAGTCCTGTGTTCTGGGGAAAGTTTCTCAAGAAAATGCCTTGGCATGTTTTTGGTGTGTGCTAGGAGTGGTGGGAGGAAGGGAGGTTCTCCTCCTTGAGTGGAGCACTTCTGCTATGCTCGTCTATTCTGCACAGAGCACAGTCTGATGAACTTCAAAAAGCTGCTCAGCTAGATTCCAAATTCTGTTTGAATGGTTAGTCCTTAATCAGTTCGCAGGTGGGCAGAGTTCTTCTGAAGGCAGATATTTTTTTTCTCATGCATCAAGAGAACAGGGTCAGTGTAATCCCTGCTGAAATTCTCATAATCTCACCACTTCATTCATGTTTTAATTTATTTTTTCATCTGCTTTCAGAAGTTTCAGGTGATCTGAACTTCTTTTGGCAGTGTCTCTTGTTTGGGTTTGATAAGAAGCTGTTTTTGGATGGATGATGAGTTTCCTGTATATATACATTTCTTCTATTTCTGCCTTTTCTGCTTTTTATCCACATCCGTGTTGTGTTATTTTCCCTCATGTCTTTTGTCTTCATTAAATTCCCACTCACTTCTATCTTTTACTTTGCCCTCTGGCTTCCCGCTCTGTTTACTCTTCTGTTGGTCCTCTCCTGCACCATGCTTTGCTCTCATTGTTTCACTTCAATTTTTCTTTCTTGTATCATCCTGTTCTGTTATCTCTTCCTTCCTTGTGCTTTGCCTCCTACTTACTTTACCACTGGTTTGACTAGCACTGGGCTTTTTTACAGCATGCAGGCAGACTGGCATAATGTGGGTCTGCGTTTCTGTTGTGATCAAAACATTTTTAGTTTTTCTTCTTTTAATAACTAAACACGAACAATAAGAAGGCATCCATGCTGAATCGATGAAGACGTGACCCCTGAAATTTGAGTTGAGCCTGCTTTAGGCGTATTGCATCTCTTGAGACCAGACTCCACAGGTTTTCACGGGTGAGGTTGTTCTGCATAAGAGATTGAAAGCCCCCATTTTGGAGGATTTGCATTAATTACAGCAAATTGGCAAGTGCAAAATCACAAGCACAAAACTCTTGAGTCTGCTGATAATCACAGACTCTATGCCTGCAACAACAGGATTCTTCAGCTTTGCTTCTGACTATGATGGTTAGTGGGGAACTCCCTCAAAGGGTGAGGTCTCCCAGCTGTGCCTACAGAACTCATTAGCTAGGTACTTCATTTATTTCAAGTTTTCCCAGGAGCTGGAACTGGGAGAGCCATAGTGAGGGATACTGCTACAGAAAGGTACTGTCTGGGTTTTCTCTAAGGCAAAGATGTTCTCTTTAAGTAGATTTAGGTGCTGGCCCTGAACTGTTAGTTGTGCCTTCAATCTAGGTCACAGCAGCAGAGTACTCACCCACTTGAACTCCTGACTTAAGATGTTGGGCTTCCTGTCCTTATCTCATTAGAAATCCCATGACTCATTCACTCCTGTGGCCACATGACTAATTAATCCACCCATTGAAAAGGTTGTTGGATTTTTACCTTGCACTTGGCTATGCTAACATAGCTTATCTGAAAATGTATTTTGTAGAACGCTGTGGGTTTTGACAACATTTAGTATCTTGGAATCAGTTGAATTGCTAAATGTTCTGCGGTGTATTTTAAATGGGGTTGTTCTTACACATGCTGTATTTGCCATGTTTGCTCTTCCAGCTGAGGGCGCTTTGGAGCCCGAGTCTCTTCTTTTTCTGTGCACTGATTACTCTGACATCTATTTGTTTGTTTGTTTGTTGTTGTACAACTGCAGCAGCCTGACTTATTTTGCTGAAAATGAGCAGTGTGGCTGTTTGATGGTTACTAAGTGAGGCAGTGTGCTTTAGCAAATAACCTTCGGACAGCTGCAAGACTTCCTTAATTGATGACCCTTCTGCAAGTAGATTCTTTGAAAATGGTATGTTTTATTTAAAAATGGTTTGTTTTGCTCAACCCTATCTTCATTTTTTTTTTTTTTTTTTTTTTTTTTCTTTCTGCCAGCCCTGTATTTCCCATATTATGCACTTGCAAGCTGTTATGGAATGGTTTGACTTTTATTAGTGCTGAT